TCTGGCTTAGACTTCTGAATGTTTCTAGTTGTTCATTTTTCTTACCTTCTCCAAAATAAAAGAACTTGCCAAACAGGAGGCATGTGTCTGTGCACCTTGACCATGATAGTTTCTGATAAGAAGCACATGATCTTGTCAGGAAGTACAGGAAACGGGCTGAGCAGACATTCGTCATGGTTTAGCAGTACCTGGCATGGAATGTGCAGCAGGAAACTGCTGCAGTGGCTAAACATCATTGCTTTGCAGGAAGGAGCCATCCTAGAGCTGGATCTTCTCATTCTCTTGGAATTGTCTTCATGTTGCTTTTTGGCAGGAACACTCATGAATACTTTGGTCCAGTCACATGTAGTCCTAGCAGGATGAGTACATAGTAGAAGCATCCTTCAAGATGCCACCAGCCTCCCAGCACAGGCACTATGCACAAGGTACAATCTTAGGACCAATAGCCACCTAGATGGAAAACACTGGGACTCCAGACATCTTTACATCTCTATTGGTTAGTCTTATTGCCAATTTTATTAGCTAGGAGACACATAGGCAGTTAATGAGGCACACGTCCAGGTTTGTCTCTGGGCCATGACCATGGGGACTGTGTCTTGTAGCTGGTTCCTTTTTCTCTGAGTCCTTCCTCAGCTCTCTGCTTTCTGGCGGCCAAGAGCGAAACAGATTTCCTGTGATGCAGCCTTCTACCATGAAGTTTCTGCCTTGGAGCCACCTGCCCATAAGCTGTAACTGTGAACCTGAATAAACTTTTCCACCGTTAAATGCAGGTGTTAGATATTTTGTCTCAGCAACAAGATAACAGCCAGTACATCATATTGAACTACATGTTTTAATAAAAAAAAAGATTTAGAGATAACTAATTGATATTGACCATATGTATTCGTAACTTTTTCATATGACTTTCATGGTCACCTCAAAGGCTTTAAAACTCAAAAGTGCCACATTCAGTGAGTGAATTCTTACTTAGGATTTTTTCATGATGAAAAACAGTATGTCTGTTTCTCACTGACAAGAATTTTAATTTCCTGAGCATAAAAAGTTTAAATAATTGTATACTTCATATTTGAAAATATTTTTAGGTTAAATGTTACATATATATTAAATATTTGCTCTGTGTAAAATGCTGATAGATTTTTTAGTAGGTCTAAAATTCTTTTACTTTGTGCATTATTATTAAACCAATATCACCCAGGCAAGATCCCAGTGATGCAGTGATAAATAGTGAACAGAGATTTTTCTTAAAGGAGCTTTATAGCATAGTTGGGGAGAAACACATGCAAAGAGATAATTATAAAATAAATGTATGTAAAGGGGGGTACATTAACTGTGTGCGGTAGTATAGGTAATCCCTGTACTCTGAAAGGCTTGAGGCAGAATAATCATAAGTTCAAACAATTTAATGAGATCTTATCTCAAAATAAATACCTTTAAAGGGCTGAGGATCTAGCTCAGTGAGAAGGCCCTGGTTCTATCCTTGATACCTCAAAATCAGTCAGTCAACAGAAAGAACAAGATAAAGGGGCTTATAACAATTATGGGGCAATCAGGATAAATTTTCTGAAGGGGTTCCATTGGAAGCATGGCCAAACATAAGTGAGAATTTGCCAAAGAATGCATGTTGTCGGTGGGGCTTTGAGTGTGTTCCAGGTAGAGGGCACTACACTGAGTAACTGAGGAACAATGAGTTGCAAGCATGTGTTGTACTCATCTAGAGTTAGAGTGACCTTTCCATGAAGGCACTGATGAGGACCTCATCCACTGACCTGATTGCTTCTTAGAGGCCCAGCTCAAGATATTATTCCTTTGAAATTATGGTTTTGGTGTGTGAAATGGAGGGAGGGGCACAAACATTCAGCCCACTGCAGTCTGATTTATTCCATGTGAGCCCTTTTTGTTTATACTTGCATTCTTTCTGAGCAGCAGTGGCTCCAGCCTACATCTTCCCAGAGTGAAGCCCAGTAGAAAAGAGCTCACTCTACTGATGAACACATATTCTACATTGGCTGTAATTGGCTCTGATTATGTCATGTACCCATCTGTGCAGTGGTCTCTATTGTCAGAAACATTTTGGGTACTACTTGGACAATCTGGAAAACATCTTCAGCCTTGAAGCCAACTCAGTTATACACAGATAAACTGACTCTAAAAATTAAAAAGTGATTAAAATGTCCACACATATTTGTGGTAGTAATTTCTGTGATGTAAATACAACCTCATGAGTAATTTCAAGATGCCTGGCTGGAATACTTCTGAATGCTTATCAGCTTTTGAAAGCCAGTTCCATCAGATAGAACATAGCATCTCTTAGTTGAAGATAAGGATGCTGGAATCATAAAGGCAGCTGGTAAGGGAGAGCATGGTGCTCTGAAAGGAAATCACAATACTGCCACAGAAAGAAGGGTAGCTGTCTGGTAGGCAAAGTCAAGCAAGCTTGCACTGTACTGCTAAAAGAACTATTTAAACTCTTTAATATAGTATCTTAGTATACTATTTTTAAGAACAATATAATATCCCATTTTATGAAAGCACTGTTACCTTTTTATTGTTGAACATTTAGATTGGTAGAATTATAAATAATGGCTTCGTTGGATATGTCAATCCTCAGACATTTAGGACAGATTTATTGAGAAAATTTGGTTAAGAAAAATCACTGGGCCAAAGGAATGGACCTTTTAATGCTTTTAATGAACATTTTCCAATAGATGTACAAAATAGGTTTACCACTTTATATCACCCCATCATTTAAAGAAAGCAATTATTTCATTATACTGTTATTAAGAATAATTTAAAAATAATAGATGATACATAACGTATAAATGATTTTCTTTCAAACTTTTTCAAATTGCTGAAAGTGTGAAAATGTCAATGTACTTTTGATAGATGTTGAGTTTTATCATTTCTCACTTTTTGTTTTGGTACCAGAAATCAAACTTAGGACCTTGTGCTTGTCAGGCAGGCACTTATGCGACTGAATTATATCCCAAGCCCTATTTCTCACTTTTGTATGTATTGATCTTACCATGTAATTTTCAGGTTTTTAAATCTTCTTATAATTGATTTAATTACTACATGGAACAATTTATAATGGAAAGTCCAGCACAGAGCACAGTTTGATAAATGTTGAGGGGAATGCTTTATACTGAACTCAAATTTCAGGTAATTTAGAAGACCATTGGCTGCTCTCACATGTAAACACTAATTCACAGTGAGTTAACACAGTAGAATTTTATTTCTTGATCATATCAGCATCTCATCTGGGTGTTTCTAGTTAGGCATCTTTCATGAGGTTATTTCAGGACAAAGGCTATCTTGTGGCTACAGCCTTTCTTTCCTCTAGGTCTGTGCAGTCATTTTCATACAGTGACAGGATGAAAGAGAACAGAGGACAGTATGTGTGAAAATCTTACAGGTGAGGCCTTAAAGTGCCACATTCCATATGCTTATAATCTGCAACTAAAACCTCTCCCATGGTTGCATCTAATTGCAAGGGAGAAAATGGGTGTGGTGAGGATCTACCTAAACTTCTAAACCTAAAATGAAGTTATCTTTTCATAAAATCTGATTTTATTCTTTACTTCATGAGTATATTTAGGAATAAATCACTTATGTTTTCTGGATTGCTTACAGGATTTAAATATGAAGTGGAAAATATTAAGTACTGATGAGAGGTACATAGATTTTTAATAAACCGGAAAGGTAGGGAAATGACTTTTGGTAGTCATTGAATGGCCTTTAATTTAGATATTGAAGAAAAGATAGTGGGGAAAAAGACTGACAGGTTTTGGATAGGTAGCTTTCAATCAGTGTATTAGAAAATTAAATGTACAAGACACTACATAAGAAATATATAATTAGCTCAATAAGTTTGTTGACTTACTAGAATGACATTGTAATACACTATTGTAGTGAAAAGGCTATCTGTGGATTGAGAAAAAAATTTAAATCATGAATCTGGTAAGGATTAATATTTAAAACTTTTAAAGAACTTTTAAAATTCTGTAGCAGAAAACCAACTGAGTTAAACATTGAGCACATGTCTTGAATATACATTTCTCCAAAAGAATGTGTATGAAATATGTTTAAAAATGGTCAACAAGAGTATGAAAAGGTGCCAAACATAACTAATCATCAGGGAAATGTTAGTCAGAGCCACTGTGAGATCCCACCTCACACTCATTCTGGAGGCTGTTGTCAAAATGACAAGTGTTGATGAGGATGTGAAGCAAAGGAAATCATTATACTCCATTGGTGAGAATGTTGATTAGTGCAGACATTTTGAAAAGTGGTGTGGAACCTTCTAAAGAAATAAATATAGATGCACCTTATGACCTAGATATCTATCCTTCTTCTGGGTATATAGTATATCAAAAGGAAATGAAATCACTACCACTAATAGATATTGACACTTTCATGTTAATTGCAACATAAAACAATAGCCAAGGTGTGTCCCATCACTGAATAAATAAAACAAACATGTAAAGTGTTAATAAGCTTTAGGAAAGGAGGTCCTGCCATTTTCCAAAATGTCTGAACATCAAGAATATTTTGTGAAGTGAAATAGCCATACACAAAGAAAAGTATATGAGCTCACATGTGTGTGGAACCTTATTTTTAAAAAAGCAAATATACAGAAATATAGAATAAACCAGTGGTCCTTAGGGGCAGGGATAAGGAGGAGGAGAATGGGGAGTTAGAAATCAAAGAACACAAAATAGCAGAAGTATAGGATGAACAAGTCTAAGAGATCTGATGCACAACATGAAGATTACTGTTAATACTGTATTGTATTTGGAAATTTTGATAAATGAGTATATTTTATCTGTCCTCGCTGCACACATATGGAAATGATGTCTAGGTTAATTTGCTTCACTATAGTAGCAAATTTTATTAACTGTATTTATCTCAAAATGTCATGTTGTATACCTTAGTTATACACAATAAATTTATTTAAGAAATAAGAATATTTTAACTTTTTTTTCTTGTTTTTCTATATACAGGTGATTAAAGTGTACAGTGAAGATGAAACCAGCAGGGCTTTAGAGGTACCCAGTGACATAACTGCCCGAGATGTTTGCCAGCTGTTAATCCTGAAGAATCACTACATTGATGACCACAGCTGGACACTGTTTGAGCACCTGCCTCATATAGGTGTAGGTAAGGATGTAGAATCACTGACTCACATCATTGATTTTCTGAGGCACATGGTATAGATCATATGACAAAGATTTTCTTCAGATGTATAGAAATAGACAAAGGGAAATTATGAATGCTTCCTTTTAATTATTTTTGATAGTTTATAAAGAAACAAAATGGAAACAAGATTGAAATATTATAAATTTATTACATCTCTTTACTTAAGTAGTGATGTGTTGGGATTTTGAGCTAAAGTTCAAAAAAAATTTGAAATGGCATGTCACTATGTTGTACAGGTTAGTCTCAAATTTCTGAGCTCAGTCCTGTCTCATGCTTCAGAGTTAGTAAGGATCCAGATATATACCACCACCCCCAGCTCATAGAGTTCAAATTGATGGAAAGGTAAATTTAATCAATAGTTTTGGTAGCTGTATTGCTGGGGCAAAATACCTGATGCTCAAAATTAAGGGAAGAAAGATTTATTTAACTCAGTTTGTGGAGGTTTCAGTCTATAATCAGCTGGCTCCAAGGTAGGGTGGCACATGGAAGAGGAGCAACAATTCATGATGGCAGAAGACAGCAAAAGCAACAAGAGCAGAAGGGAGTAGGCTTCTTTTCTTCCCTTATATTATATGCCCTAGGGCAACTATGACACTCACATTCCCAATCCCAGGACTAGAGAATGAAGCAATCACAAAATCTAAATTCAACCGCCTCTAAAAAGTCCACCCCCATGACCACATGAGGCTTTGGAGAGATATCCCCCAAAACCGTAACAAACATAACCATAACAATAGCATAATGAAAAGTTCTTTAGAAATTAATAAAACAGCTTCTGAACTACTTTTGTGATTGACTGCAGTGTGGACATAAATCAGTGTACATCCTGGTGAGTCTCCTAATGGAAATACTCTCTCAATATTTCATTTAAAAATAACCTCTCACTTTTAAGACATTAACATAAAGACTAACCTTTAAAATTTTTTATTTGTAAATGCATATCTGTATTAGGAGCTATGGAAATTTTTAAAATTTATTGTAATAAGCTGTAAAGTATGAATTACCTTACTGGACTGAGGCAGGGTTTAGAAGTTATAAGTACAACTTAGTTTGGTTTTGTTAACGTTCCTGGTCTCTTACAGCTTCTGGTGGCTGCCAGCATTCCTTGGCTGTGGCTGCATCGCTCTAATCTCTGTCTCCATGGTCCAATGGCTGTCTGTTCTATCTCTGTCATACTTGCCTCTTTTAAGAGCAATAACATTCTAAGCCCTACCAAATAATCCAAGAAAATCACATTTCAAAGATTCTTAATTTAGCCATAACTATAGCAGTTTTTCCTCCTCTTCGTCTGTCTGTTCCTCCTCCTTTCCCTCCTACCTTTTCTTCTTGTTTCTCTTTTCCTCTGTTCATCCTCCTCTTCTTCCTTCTCTTCCTTCCACTTCTCTTCTGTGTCCTTTTCATGTAAGGTGATATTCATAGATTCTGGACAATAAGCTGGGTTATCTTTGGGGTGTTATTATTCAGCTTGTCCCAAATTCCTTTTCATTTTATAGTAAAAACTTTTCAGTAATAAATCATTAAAATCATTTAAAATAACATTATTGACCACACAGTTATTTCCTTCAGTTTATTTGAAGAATTGTGAAAATTTTATACCTACACATTAGAGTCATTCACTTTCTTGCTTAACTGCCAGTATATAAAATTATCCTTTGTTTATACATCTGGACTTATGCCCCAGAATGAAGATGTGAACTTATGCCCCAGAAAGTATGGTTAGTTTCATACAAGATATTTGCTTTCTTTTATGAAATAGAACTTAAAAAGTGGTGTTAGCAGAAATGTGTTTTAGGAAGATTAATTTTGATGATATTCTGGAAAGTGATAGTCTTCCTACTTCCTGTCTTCTAAAACTTCAAAGTGTTGGTAGGCTTCCAATTTGAGGGCTGCTGTCCTGGGAAATGTCAGTGCAGAATGAAGCCTGTGGAAAAGAAGCTAGAGTAGTTCCATGACTTTTAGAGTGACTCAGACCCTGCTTACCTGCCCACTTGATTCTGACACCCTGCAGCAGGGACTGCTGATCTTAGAGTAAGAGGAATGTCTTACTCCCTAGGAATCCGGAGTTCAGAAGTTAGCCTCTGCTGATCAGTGAGACATGCTGCCAGCTAGAGCAGAAAAAACTCAACATACATTTTTTTTCACTGCCATTTATGAGTAGTTTAATTTTTCATGATAATCTCACAAAGTATAATTCTCAATAGATATATACCATATTCTATAACATTTCATTTAATTATAGTAAAAATATTATACCTCTTGCATAGCATAATATATAATTATAGTATTTAATATATAATTATACTATTTTATATACTCTTAAATTTTTTTGGGAGACCTTAAAGAACATTTGTTTTAGTTGCAGTCATTGCAATTTATGCCTAATAAATATTTTTAAAGTTCATTAATAAAAATCTGCTGTATAGATTAAGCAGCAGTTTTCCCTTAGGATACTTCACATTATTTATATTAAAGGAATGGAATGTGTATGCATTGTAATGTAAAAATTGTAAATGGAGAATTAATTAGAGCTACATACTAACTGTAAATTTTAGGTATCAAATAATAATATAACAATGTAAAATAATATAACTATTTAATAATAGACAATATTATATCTAGTATATATTATATACAATAACAATAACATGTATGTAATTATATATAATATAATATAATAATGCAATAATATAACACTATTAAAATACAGTGGTACCTTGGTTCATGAACTTAATTCTTTTATATTTTAGATCATATATAATTTTTATTTATTTATTTTATTTTATTTTACAGAAGATAAAATTAAACAGCAAAACAGATAATAAGGAAACAATTGTAAGAAGATTTCAAAGCAAGACTACTGGAGATCTTCACTGTCTATCATATTGTCTCTTGTTTTCTTCCAAATAGTTGTCCACATCTTCACACAAAGTGAATACATACTGAACATTATAGTACTAAACTAATCAGAACAGGATGATGAAGGCATTTTAGGTCTTCAAGACCAGATAGTAGGGGAGTCAACAATGACTGCCATCATGTCTCTTGTTCTCTTCGAAATAGCTGTCCATTTCTTTGTGTAGGTTGAAATTAAACATAAGAGACTAGACTAATATCAGTCTGAACAGTGAATAATAGTATTGCTAGATTTTATATCATAATGCTACAGAATTAGCACTGGGTATCTTAGTGTCTCTTCTTCAGAGTATCTGTTCATTACATCGTGCATTATATAATCTGTTCTCGTAAACTGTTTAGAAATTCTACACATGTGTGAATCTCTACATGTATACTTATCCTTTTTGTATTATAGGGAAAAACAGATCAAAACAACACAACAAAACAAATTCCTAGAAAAACATGAAACGAAAAAGACATATAAAACCATAATACTTGGTGATCTACAGTAGTTACTATGCTGTCTCTTGTTATTTTCAATAGAATTGTCTACATCCTCAGGCATAATGTAATTGAACATAGTATCACCTAGCAATTTTAATAAAAACACAACATTGGAGACATTGTAGGACTTCCAAAGCAGTTAATAATCAAACTGGAATGGGTATCTTATTACATCTTGTCATCTTCAGGGTAATTGCCTCTATTCTTAGACTTGATACTATCAAGCATACCAAATTCAAATAAAATCAGTCAGGACAAAACAGCAGTCTAACAAACCAGATTCAAATAAGATCAGTCATAGAAAGACAGTGTAAGTAATACAGGGCTTCAGTTTAAGTTAGTAGGAAATTAAGGATAGTTACCATAGTATATCCTGCTATTTTTGAGATAGCTATCTATGCACTCAAGTCTAGTATGAGTAGACAGATTGGAACAGAATAAAATCAAACTAAACAGAGCTATAAGACTAATGTGGCTTTTAAATCCCGATACACTATTAACAATGTCTTCTGCCTTCCTTTTTTAGACAGTTCCTTGCCTTTCCCTTTTTCAGGGTGCTTTGAGTATTTTGGGTCCCACTAACTCCTTTAGTTTTTAGATTAGGGGGTCAACCCATTATCTATCTAAGTGGTGCTGAACCTTTTTAACCCTGAGCTTGATCTTGAGCTGTATTCCTTTACTTACTAAAGCCTCAAGGTTTTCCTTCCTTATAGCTGAGTAGTTCTCCACTGCACAAAAGTGTCATGACTTTCCAACCTATCTGCAGCTGCTGGACGAGAGTTGTCCCTATTTTTCTCTGATCCCCTGTCACATAGGACATTGTTTTCTCATCTTTGACTTTCAGTTTATTAATCCTCTTTCAGGTTGAGTATATTTCCTAATCAGAGCATCTTGATGGACCATATCTCCTGATTACTCTGCCTGTGTTGCTTTTTGTTAGTGTATCAAGGCCATTTATATTACAGATTATAGGCTGCCTTCTTTTCCTCATCTCTGCAGTTCTATTTTTCTGCTATTATTTGTCCACTTTTCTCCTTCATTCCACTGTCTGCCCCATTTATCGAGACCTCTCTACCACTGTTGCTGGAATCTTGGTATTTTTTTCTACTTCTCTCTAGAATGTCCTTCAGTAGTTTTTGTAGGGTTGGATTGGTGGTCACGAACTCCCATAGTTCCTCTTTGTCATGGAAACATCTTGTTTATCCATTAATTTTGAGAGACAGTTTTTCAGGGTACATCAATCTGGGTTGGAGGTTATTTTCTTTCAGGGCTTGGACTACTTCACTTCAAGCTCTTCTTGATTTGATAGTTTGTATTGAGAAGTCTGTCATGATTTTGATGGATTTTCCTTTATAGGGATTTTGTTTCTTTTCTCTAACCACTTTTTTTTTTTTCCCATTTTTACCGGTACCAGGGATCGAACTCACGACTGCCTGCTTGCAAGGCAGGTACTTATGCCGCTGAGCTAAATCCCTAGCCCTCTCTGACCACTTTTAATATTCTGTTCATGTGGTGAATTTCTGGGATCTTGATTATTATATGTCTGGGTGTAGTTTGGTTTT